TCAACAGTCAACACGCACATGTGCTTCGAGTTTCCTATGGTATCATATTTCACAAAATTGCAAGGAAATATAATACTATTAAATAGCGTATTAGCGTAATAAGTTCTTGGCCAATTTGGCTGAATGTTCGGAAAAGGGCCGAGCTTTCAGTCGACATATCCATCTTTTCGATCTCGCATTTTCTACAATTTTTCTACAAACAATCTCTCTCCAACAGGTATTGCCTATTGGCTTGATCCAATTCATTCTGCCGAGAACTGATTTATTGTGCCGACGGACACGGCATTGGGGGGGTGTGACACCCCCCGCACCCCCCCTTAGCTACGCCCCTGAAAGCATCAAAATTGCGCGCCGGAGATATCCGCCGCGCGATACAAACTTTCCACACTGGGGGAGGACAAATTGTTTCTTCCAGTGTGGAAACAGGGTTTGTAGCGGTCTTTGAAATCCTTGAAAGGACTTCTTTAAATTTGAATGCAGGTCTTTAAGGTCTTGAAAAGTCTTTGAATTGTGTGAAAAAGCGAAGAAAGTCTTTAAAAGTCTTTAAATTCTTTAGTGAGTAATTGCTTATACGATTTCCTAGCCAATAAAATAGATTGATTGAAGCAAGATTTTCGCAAATATCGACGACAAGGCGCATTTTAGGATGTGATTTGATTGGACTAATTACTGGGTAAACTAAACACTCGCAATTTTTCGACAGCTGATTGTTCTCAAAGGTCTTTGAAAAGTCTTTCAAAATAGGCAGAAAAAATCTTTGAATACGTACCCTGGGAAAGTTTGTACTGCACGCCCGAGATATGGTATTAAATTTTCGAAATCTCGGCCGCGCAATTTCCAAGCTTTCCAGTCAGGTGTTTCTTATAATAGTATAAGTGTATTAGGACATCTGAAGGGTGTAGGGGGTTAACTTCCTCCGTGGAAGAACTTAATGTATGTTTTCTGGAATGACCCATTTCCAACCGACACAGGGTAAAGATGAGAAAATCCCAGATGTACAAGAAAGTGTTCCAGATGCCGTTGACTTTTTTGGCCACAGACAATCGAAGGAACAATCCTTGGAACATGATTTGAAAAGCTGTGAAATTCCAAAGTCTGAAGCAAAGAAGAAATTAAAAGATGGTGGGGGTGATGAAGATAGGAAGAAGAAAAGAAATAAAAAGAGAAAAAGAGGTATGTTTAAAGGTGATCCACAGTCCGATCTGTGCATGTGCACAAATGAGCCCACTTTTTATGATACAAACAGTTTAACTATATTTTGAGTTCTTGAAAAGCCTGATTGTTGTTTCTTGATCATTTATTATACTCTAGAAGCTTGAAAATATAAATAGTTGTCGAATAAAGCTCAATATTTTGGACACAAAAATATGTAAACAAAGGCTTTGTTTACATACAGACTGTAGATCACCTTTAAAATTTCAAACTTGGAATTTCCATCTACAAAATCCTTCTGCAATTACTTGTATATTAATACACATCTGCATCTAGGGTTTAGGTGGGGTTTAGGTTAGGAGTGCCCAGTACCACTGTGCACCCCCTCCCCATCAAAATATGTGTGTGAGAGCTAGCTAGGTGCCTACCCCTGCTTTCACAAGCATTTGCAAAGTGTAGAACTTGAAAAATATTTGTATGACTTCTGATGATGTCTGTGGACTCTCACCCTTCACTGAAAAATTATGGAACTACTCAGGTTAAAAATCTTAATTACTTTATCAACAATAACAGAAGATTGGAGTCATATGGCCACTAATCTGGATGTACCTCCAGACTTCAATAGATATGTCTGTTTTTCATATTTTCTCAAGAAAATGACAATTCAGAAGTGGATGAAGAGCAAAGTCACAAAAAGAAAGAAAAACACAGCATTGAAAAATTAGCTGAGCTGCAAAAAGAAAAGGTTTGTTGAACAAATCAAAGAATAATTGTGCAAATGAATGAAAGCATTTAAAAACAGATTTTAAAGCTGGTATACGGACCAAGTAAAATCGTCTGGCATTAGACAGAGTAAAATAATCTGGCATTAGACAGAGTAAAATAGTAAAGTAGGGTACACCAGTGCACATTGCCACTGAAAGGTTTAAATTTTATTTTTTCAGGTGAATGCATTTCGAAACAAACATCACATCTACGTAAATGGATCAGACATTCCTGATCCAATTGAGTGTTTTACAGATCTTGACACACAGTAAGTTTTTATAAGACACATTTTCAGAACACAACTTCTTGATGTACCTGGTGTAAACTTCTTGAAATGGAACACATTCTGCGCTCTGTGAAACCTTGCATATCTGATGATTCTTGTTCGTTCTTTAGATATTCATTACCACACTACATTCTTAATAATGTTTTGGAATCAGGCTATGCTCAACCTACTCCAATTCAAATGCAGGCGATACCTTTACTCTTGCAGGTGAGTCATGTTGAACTATTATCTAGTTCATTGGTAATAGACTGCATGATCAAATATGACTTTGAAAGGGAAGGAAGGAGACTAGCGACTTTCAAAGACAGCACAGAAATGTGTTAATTTGTGTCCAATGAATGTCTACATCTTTTCAAATATTCCTAGGACCGTGAGCTACTGGCTTGTGCTCCCACTGGTTCAGGAAAAACTGCTGCATTTATCTTACCTGTTTTGTATCACCTAAAGGTAATGCACCTTGGATAATAATAAACTGGATAATAAATCAACATTATTTTCCTTTAAGATTTCTTTCATTACAATATGTTTGTCAAGATCTGATGCTCATTTTGCATTATTGAATTGCCATTATAATAGATTATTTTGTTTATGTGTTAAGTTCATTGATATAATTTTGTGTATTTCTATCTTTGAAATTTTCCCCTTGGGGGAAAGTCAGTACAAAGATATATTAACAAAGATTTTTCTGTGGTGTAGGAACCAAAGAAGTGTGGCTTTAGATGCGTTGTGGTCTCACCCACCAGAGAACTAGCACAGCAAGTATGTTACAGAATACCTTCTTTAGATGGTTAACACCTTAGATGGTTAATTGTCTGGCACTAGACAGAGTAAAATAATAAAGTAGATTTAGTAGGGCACATCAGGATACACATAAGCTAAACTAAAGTTTTGCACCCTACATTATCATGTATTTTGTCTAATGCCAGACAAATTTGAGTTTGTCACTCAATGGGTTAATTTTTATTGTAGTACACTCTAATGGACCATTTGCATTATAGACTAAATTTTGATCTAAACAAGTCTAGACAAAAATTTCATCACAGCTTGAAAGAGCATCACAAAATTAGTAATATTCCAAAGTTTCGTTGCGAAATGTTGTAAAGTGCGGATAATATAGCCTTGCGAAGTTTGCCGTTTTTCAGTCATTTTCTATTACAAACGGGAAATTGACAGCCCCAAAGGGTATTGAGCTGTCAATTTCCCCCGCGTAATGCAAAATGACTGAAAAACGGCAAACTTCGCAAGGCTATGTTATCCGCATTTTACAACATTTCGCAACGAAACTTTGGAATATTACTAATTTTGTGATGCTCTTGTCAAAGTGTCATGAAATTTTTGTCTAGACTTGTTTAGATCAAAATTTAGTCTATAATGCAAATGGTCCATTCTTGCTGTTATTTCAGATTTATCGAGAGTTTTGTCGTCTGTCAAAAGGAAAGGCACTGCGGATTCACATTTTAACGAAAGCAAAGGCAAATGCAAACAACTTCGGACCTAAATCTTCAAAACGTTTTGGTAAGATATTGTGAACTTTTCCACAGTACATGACAATCACCTTACAGGTGTTTGGATTGGTTGGTCAATGGGACGGTTGGTTGGTTAGTAGGATAGTTGGTCAGTCAGTTGGTCAAGCAATTATTTGGTTGGTTACTTATAAATAGTCAGTCTTTCAGTTAGTAAGTCACAATCCTAGTTCTCTGTGTAACCATATATTATGGTTTGCATATTTCTAGATATTTTGGTTACCACCCCAAACAGACTTGTGCACATGCTTCAACAAGATCCTCCTGCTATACAGTTGGACAGCGTGGAATGGTTGATCCTTGACGAGGCAGACAAACTCTTTGAAAAAGGGAAGGATGGTTTTCGAGATCAGGTCAGTAGAAAGATCATCAAACTATGTAAACAGGAGTGTGGCCAGCCCCAAACGAGTGGGGGGGGGTATAATTTTATGTCATAGATGAAAGAATTACAAAATTGGTCCTGAATAGAAGTGGACAGGAAGAGCATTCCCTCCATTCCCCTCTGTGGCTACGCCTTTGCGTGTGAACAAATACATCACGAAATAATGCAACAGAAATGACTTCCACTACTCTGTTTAATAGCCACGGAATAATGCAACCGAGATAACTTCCACTACTCTGTTTAATAGCCATGAAATAATGCAACAGAGATAACTTCCTCTACTCTGTTTAATAGCCACGAAATAATGCAACAGAGATGACGTCCACTACTCTGTTCATTTTTCAATACCCCTTGTCAACTCGATAGCGTTTTTGTATGATCTTCAGATTGCTACAATCTATCAAGCATGTTCCAATCCAAAGATCAAGAGAGCATTATTCAGTGCAACGTTATCAAACGGAATTGAAGAATGGACCAGAGTTCACCTAGATAATGTTGTGAGAATTACAGTAGGAGTAAGGTTTGTACTTATTCATCGCAGTACAAGTAATAGCTGGTTTCAATCAGCACTATCGCGTAGCACAAGGTGGGTCAACCTGCGAATCTTGGACTGATATTTGGCGTATTTGTACGTGTAGGAATTCTGCGACGGAAACAGTTGAACAAGAACTTTTGTTTGTTGGACAGGAATCTGGAAAACTCATTGCAATCCGAGATATTATACAAAAGGTTTTTTATTTATTTATTTATTTTAAAAATTTAACCTAAGGCGGGTATAACAATAAGAGGACACGAGGTCCCGTACTAGATAGTACACCTGATTGAAAATACAATAAAATACCATATAAGTATATAGTCCATCTTAACAAGAACAACAAGACATTGCATTTACATGTCGACATAATTATCACCGTCAAATACTTCTCTTAGTCTTTCAAAATAAAATTTTTTAAGTAGAATATTTTATCACTCGTTTGAATAGTACTAGGCAGCGCGTTCCAAAGATGAACTACTGTAACCTAACCCTACCCCTTGGGAAGTTCCCAAGGGTTAGGGTTAGGTTACCCGAAGATTTGGATCTAAACACACTGTAAATTTCATGAGTTGAATCAACTCCAAAGGGTTATTCTGTCAACAAAAACGGTGACACAAAAAGTCAATAACACTTTTGGAGTTAATTCAATTCCTTGAAATTTACAGTGTCTGTCATTCTTTTGATCTTTTGTGAATCTTTTGTAATTCAATGGACCATTTGCATTATAGACCAAATTTTGATCTAGACAAAAAATTCATCACAGCTTGAAAGAGCTAGCATCACAAAATTAGTAATAGTCCAAAGTTTCGTTGCGAAATGTTGTAAAATGCGGATAATATAGCCTTGCGAAATTTGCAATTTTCAGTCATTTTGTATTACAAACAGGAAATTGATGCCCCAACACCCGATTGGG